AACCGTGACACCAAAGTATCGAACCGAACCGTGAATTTTGTGTATCGTTGCACCCCTAATAAATACTAAACAGTACGCTAGTCCCCACTGATGCTGAGAAAACTTTCTTCCAAGTTTGCTTCAACTTCATGTATGTATGAAGGACCAACGTTTTTTTCTGATTTCACTACATACATTCTAGTTCTGATCCAGCTTTTACTCAATTTTATCACAAAATCTGAATCATGCACACCGATCAGGGATAACGTTATGACCACGACCTAATATTAACCCATCGAGGCATGGACTCTCCAAAGACCCCTGAAGGTGTGGCGTGGAATCTGACTGCACATCCCACAGATGCTCGACTGGATTGAGAACTGGGCAGTCTGGAGGCAAAGTCAAAACCACTCCTGCTGAAAGAGGCCACAGCCATCAGGGAGTACCGGTCCATGAAACGGTGTAAATGCTCTGCAAAAGTGCTCAGGTTGGTGGTATGTGTCAAAGTAACATCCACATGGTGGGAAACCTGCTTCTAACAGCAACTTTGAGGACTAAGTTTAGTTCCTTACAAATATATCCCACCCACTAACAGGTGCCTCGATGAAGGGGTACTCAGTGATAGTCACTTCACCTGTCACTGATCAAAATGTTAAGACCAATAAACCAAGAAGGATTAAAGGAGGAGGAGCTAAAACAGCTTGCTTTGGACAATGGATGAGCTGAGGAAAAGAATCTCCAGCATAAGATAAACAAGGATTATTTTGGACTGTGAATCATGCAAAGCTTCTCTACTAGAGTCCAACAAGAAAGGAGTGCTTTTATGGGAAATATCTACGATACAAACTTAAACACCTGACTTTAGTTAGACATTTCAGCCTAAAGTGATTTTCTTTTGAAGAGCTGGGTGAAAAGTAGAGATCTTTCAGTGCTCCTGTGCTGTTCAGCAAGCAAGCGCCCAGCAATGTGAAAGACAAAAAAAGTAATAAACATTATGTTTGCTTCCAACTTCATTTTATTGAGTCTACATGTTAAATATGTTTGTTGCTAAAAAGCTAGAGGCCAAAACTTATTTCAGAAGGGGAGTATGCAAAACAATTTTTTAAGCTGTCAGCTGCTCAAACGACAGGAAAACAGGAATCAGCAAAGTTGGTTTATTATTTTAACCAAATTGACCTTTCGGCTCTATAAAATATTTTCAATAAAATGCAATATATTTTTTTGCTGATATGAGCTGATGTTTGCTCTG